AGGGGAACAGGTGAACAGCAGACAAGACCTCATCCTGTGTCACTCCTTTTCCATCTCTGCCTGCAACAGGGAAGACCGTGGAAGTCATGCAGCCAGGTGCATGGCAGGAATTAATGCTTTCAGCTCCTGAGAAAAGGTGTCTGCCTCACTGAAACACCATGTCAGTCCTGTTTCCTGTAGTTCAGTGGAAGAGGGAGGAAAACAATACCCGAGAGTATATAAGAAGCTGCTGCATGGAGCCATTCTATTTTAATGTGGCATGAGTTCTTCCTTAAGTCAACAGCCCATGTAATTGCTTGCATGAATTGGATGGCGAAGGTTGTGATGAGTAAAGGCATAAACACGCAGTTGATGCATACTGGAGGGTTAATCAGACTAGCAAGTTGAAAATTAAGGTCAACAAGAATGCAGAACGTGTCCTGGTAGCTCAAGTAGAAAATACAGCATGAATAAAATACACAAGCAACTAGGAGAACAAAAGGGGATTTTGGGATATCTTACCACATTTATTGCGGCATAAGCTTCTGTGGGCTATGAATTTTCAATTCAGTGATATACACAGAGAGGGGAAGGGAATTGTGAATGACATATTTAAAAGGCTGTAAAAAGCTATAGTTAGTGATGTTTCTCTGTGGAACTCAAGAGAGTGTTACAATAGTGAGAGAAACACTTATAATCCTTATTCAAGCCCCTTTTGTGAACTCATTTTGGAGCTGTATTTAGCTGCCTTTCATTTGGAATAGTGTTCTTCATCAAATTTCAGACAGAAAGTACTTCAGAGTAAATCACTGCAAAGTACAGAAAGTGCCATCATACCCAAGGGTAGCTGTGACCTTGACAGATGTTTTTGGCAACAGAACTGCAATATGACATCAAAGCAGTCTTTATTTATCTTCATGATTATTCAGAACTGTCAGAAGTTCCACTAAAAAAAAGAGAGGGACTACAGTTAATATAGACATGGCAACTTAACAGATGGTTACAAAACTAACCACTGACACCTTCCCATTACTCGTGTAGGTTGAAAATGCAGTTTCAAAAGGTCATCCCATATCACAACTTTTATTTTTTGTCACAATTTTTCTTCTCCCCCCCCCCCCCAAGGTGATATAGGTGGCACTCCTTTGGTTGTAAACGGAGGACCCTACTTGCTACCTCAGCAGTGGCTTATTGAATCAGTGCATAATATGACCCATGTGTGCATCTGAGAGATAAACCTTTAATTCTACAATGAAAATTCATGGAGTAGTTATGTAACTATAATCCTTCTAGCTCATGTCCACATAACAGTTTCCCGTGCCCTTGGACTGATTGTGTAGCACAGGAAGCACCCTTGGGAAAGGCATGTCTCATTTCCCTGTGACAAGCTTTTCCCTGAAAGTGGGGAGTCCATCTCCCTCTCTTCACACTAGCCATGCAATGCTGAGGGACAAGGGGGTCTCTGTAGTACCTTGCATGTGTACACAGGTGACTGGTCATCTGCTGAAGAACTCAGAGTGTGTGTATTCATATCATTATAAAATTGCATCCTTTTGTTTCTACAGTTCACATACTTTATTAACATTTAGATCTTTAATGGGAGCGAGTGTCTGTAAAATATTTTTAGAATTCTTGGTCCTGTGGCTCAAGGCCTTATGATATTATTTGCAAAATATCCCACCTTCCTGCTCTTACAGGGGCTGCAGCTAACAATTTAAAACATAAACAATAAAATACATTCTGACATCATTAAAATAGCCCCCTCCCAAACATACCTTACTAAAACAACTTTTAAAAGCATTAAAACACAAATAAAATAGTTAAAATACATACAAAACATAAAATATTGGTTAGGAAGGAAGGATCAGTGCCAAATGAGACCCCCAAAAAAGTCTTCACTCACTGGTGGAAGATGGCAACAGAAGGGGACAGATGAATCTCCCTGGGGAGAGAGTTCCATAGCTGTGGTAACATGACTGAGAAGACCCTCTCCCAGGTTGCCACCTGCGTAATCTCAAAAGGTGGGGCACTTAAAGCAGGGTGTCTGAAGATGACTTGCAATGTGTCCTGGTCCAGATTGGGCTCCCCAGGGACAGGGGGCCGAAGAGAGGAAGAGAGAAGAAGGGTCCCCAAACCCACCCCCAAGCTGGAAGACGACAGCCCTTGTAAGAACATAAGAACATAAGAACATAAGAGATGCCAATGTTGGATCAGGCCAAAGGCCCATCCAGTCCAACACTCTGTATCCCACAGTGGCCAGAAATACCAGTGCCATCAGGAGGTCCACCAGTGGGGCCAGGACATTAGAAGCCCTCCCACTGTTGACCCCCCCCCAAGCACCAAGATGACAGAGCATCACTTGCCCCAGAGTCCCTATCTATACCTTGTGGCTAATAGCCACTGATGGACCTCTGCTCCATATGCTTATCTAATTCCCTTTTGAAGCCGTCCATGCTTGTAGCTGCCACCACTTCCTGTGGCAGTGAATTCCAAGTGTTAATCACTCTTTGGGTGAAGAAGTACTTCCTTTTATCCGTTCTAACCCGACCGCTCAGCAATTTCATGGAGTGCCCACGGGTTCTTGTATTGTGAGAAAGGGAGAAAAGTACCTCTTTCTCTACCTGCTCTTTCCCATGCATAATCTTATAAACCTCAATCATGTCACCCCTCAGTCGTCGTTTCTCCAAGCTAAAGAGCCCTAAGCGCCTTAACCGTTCCTCATAGGGAAAGTGTTCCAACCCTTTTATCATTCGAGTTGCTCTTTTCTGCACTTTTTCCAAAGCTATAATATCCTTTTTAAGGTGTGGTGACCAGAATTGCACACAGTATTCCAGATGAGGTCGCACCATTGATTTATATAGCGGCATTATGATATTGGCTGATCTGTTTACAATACCCTTCCTAATAATCCCCAGCATAGCATTGGCCTTCTTTATTGCAGTCACACACTGTCTCGACATTTTCAGTGAGTTATCTACTACAACTCCAAGATCTCTCTCTTGATCTGTCTCTGCCAGTTCAGACCCCATCAACGTGTATTTATAGTTAGGATTTTTGGCTCCAATGTGCATCACCTTGCACTTGGCCACATTGAACCCCATTTGCCATGTTGACGCCCACTCGCCCAACTTTGACAGATCCCTTTGGAGTGCCTCACAATCCTCACTGGTTTTCACCACCCTGAACAACTTCGTATCATCCGCAAATTTAGCCACTTCACTGCTTACTCCCAACTCCAAATCATTAATGAACAAGTTAAAAAGCAGTGGACCAAGTACTGATCCCTGTGGTACCCCACTGCTTACACCCCTCCACTGGGAGAACTGCCCATTTATACTCACTCTCTGTTTTCTATTAATTAGCCAGTTTTTGATCCATAAAAGGACTTGTCCTTTTATCCCATGATTTTTGAGCTTGCTTAGGAGCCTTTGATGAGGAACTTTATCAAAAGCTTTCTGGAAGTCAAGGTAAACAATATCTATTGGATCCCCCTTGTCCACATGTTTGTTCACCCCCTCAAAGAACATTAACAGGTTAGTGAGACAAGATCTTCCCTTACAGAACCCATGTTGAGTCTGCCTCAATAGGTTTTGTTCATCTATGTGCCTACTAATTCTTTCCTTAATAATGGTTTCCAGCAATTTACCCGGTATCGACGTCAGACTGACAGGCCTGTAATTTCCCGGATCTCCTCTGGAACCCTTTTTAAAGATGGGAGTGACATTAGCTACCTTCCAGTCCTCAGGAATGGAGGCTGATTTTAAGGAGAGATTACATATTTTTGTCAGGAGATCCACAAGTTCACAATTGAGTTCTTTCAGAACTCTTGGATGTATGCCATCTGGGCCTGGTGATTTATCAGTTTTTAAGTTGTTTATCAGTTTTAGGACCTCCTCTCTCGTCACCTCAATCTGACTCAGGTCTTTCAACACCCCTCCCGAACTCAGCGGCTCTGGAGTGGGCAAGCACCTCTCATCTTCCACAGTGAAGACGGAGGCAAAAAATGCATTTAGCTTCTCAGCCATTTCCCTATCATCCTTCAGTACTCCTTTTACCCCTTGGTCATCCAAGGGCCCCACTGCCTCCCTGGCTGGTTTCCTGTTTCTAATGTATTTGAAGAAAGTTTTATTGTTGGTCTTTACATTTTTTGCTATATGCTCCTCATATTCCCTTTTTGCATGCCTGACCACAGACTTGCATTTTATTTGCCATAGCCTGTGTTCTGTTTTATCAGCCTCACTGTGACTAGCTTTCCACCGCTTAAAGGAATCTGTGGGGAGGAGAGGCCCCAGCCAGCAGCAGAGCATCACCCAAGCTCGCGGCGGAGGCCCAGAGCGGGGAAGATGAAGCAGCAGAGTGACCACGAGAGGCGGAGCCACCCCACCGAGCAGCACAAAAGGCAGCCGCCAAGCCCCTCCAGGGTTGACCCAAGCTGCAGACGCAAGGCGGTGGGACCTTGGGGGTGCGCCCATGCTCGGCCATGGCAGGGCCCTTGGAGGGGCCCAGGAAAGATTGGAGCGTCAGCAGCCCTCCCCAGAAGTGCCGGACCAACAGCGTCTGACCCTGAGCATGCTGAGACGGGCTTGTCGGGTGCCCAGGCAGGTGGACAGTGGGGAGAGACCAGCCAGGAACTGGTTTGGGAGTCCAGCACACGTCAAGGGGGTGGAGTGAGATGGGGCAGGCCCAGCATCCCCTTTAGGTGAGGGCGTGGCCGACCAGGAGGAGGCAGAGCGGGAGCGAGGGAAGAGTTAAAAGGAAGAGGAGGAGGTGGCTGAGGAGGAGGATGTCCGGGATGGTGAAGATGGGTGCTAGAGAGAGAAGGAGCCTGTATGCCAAGAAGAGAAACCGGGTCCAGAGGGAGAAGGGCAGGTGAAGTAACCACCCAAACGGCCCTGCTGTCTGAGGCCTTCCCCCCTCTTCCTCTCAAGTCCTTCCCCCTCATCAACCCACCTGGACAAGAGTCCCAAGGCCAGGGCTCAACAGAATCTGCAGCAAGGCCCGGTGACAGCAGTGGTGTGGCAATGGGAGACCAGTCGGCGGCGGCCCATCAAAGCTGCAACACAATGGTTGGACAGGTTCATAAGGAATTAGGTGATCCTTCAGGTATGTTGGTCCCAAACCATAAAGGGCTTTGGAGGTCAAGACCAACACCTTGAATTGTGCCCAGAAACAAATTGGAAGCCTGTGTAGGAGGGCCAAGCCTGGAGTGATATGGTCCCTATGCCCCACTCTAGTCCACATCCTGGCTGCAGCATTCCTACCAATTACAGTTCCTGAACACTTTTCAAGGGCAGCCCCACACAGAGTGCATTGCAGTAATCTAATCTAGATGTAACCAGGGCACTTTTGACCACAGTTGTCACCTGCTTATCCAACAGTACACCTGGGTCCAAGAGCATCCCCAGACTATGGCCCAGTTCTTTCAAGGGGACTGCAACCCCATCCAGAATGGGTGATGATACCTAAACCGTGGATCAGACCTTCCATGCAGCAGTAGCACTTCCATCTTGTCGGAGTTAAGCTTCAATTTATAAGCCTGCATCCACTCCACAACTGCCTCCAGGCACTGGTTCAGGGTTTCTATAACCTCCCTGGGATCAGCTGGAAGTGTGAGATAAGAGCTGAATGTCATCCACATATTGATGACAACCGAACCCAAACTACTGGATGAACTCACCCAGTGATTCCATGTAGATGTTAAATAGCATAGGCCAAAGGCCAAGGGGTTGAACACCAGTCCCCCCCACACCAACTTCTAAAACCTACCCCCCAGGTCAGACTGGAACTACCACCAAATGCCACCTCCCAGTTCCAGTCCAAATAGGCGATCCAGAAGGATGCCATGGTCAATTGTATTGAAACCCACTGAAAAGTCCAGGATAATCCACAGAGTTGTACTCCCTCTGTCCTTCTCCTAGATCAAAGCATCCACCAGGGTGACCTAGTCTGTTTCAGTCCCAGAACCAGGCCTGGACACAGATTGGAAGGGATCTAAGCATTTCATCTCCTCTGGGAAGGCTTGGAATTGTGCAGTAACCATCCATTTAATCACCTTGCTCAAGAACGGAACACATGAGACTGTTCAATAGTTATCAAGAGCAGGTCAGCCTCCAGGATGGGCCTGGAGATCTGCTGGAATTACAACTGGTCTCCATCTATAGAGATCAGCTCCCTGGAGAAATCTGTTGGAGGGTGGCCTCTATGGCACTATACCCTGCTGAGCTGCCTCTCTTCCCTCACCCTCCTCAAACTCCATCCCCAAAATCTCCAGGAATTTCAAGGCTGGGGTGACCACCCCCTCTCTTAAGGAAGCATTAACTACTTTTTTTACCCAGTCAGCCAGCCCCCTCTCCCGGAATATTTAAGTAACCAGGAAAGGCAAGGGTTGTACAAGCAGGTACTTGGCCTTAAAATCCAAGGATCCTGTCCACATAATGATCTGAGGCTGCGTACCAACAAAACCTTGCTTGAGCCTCTCTAGAAAACAACCTACCATATTTGGTCAGAGAAACAACTTCTCCCTTCAGGGCTGAGCTAAGTGAATACTAGTTCTAAAAGCTGGCAGATTTTTCTGTCATTTCCCCCCCTCTCGTGCAAATAGACTTTTATTCCCCCCCCCCCATAAATGATGCAAAATTTGCACAAATGCACCTGCCTCCGATAAACTGCTGTTTGTGCTTCTTAGCACACATTTCTTGATGAAGTAGCAACTCCTAGGGTTCAGGCTGTTCAACTGTAACTGTTTTAGGCAGGGTTGTGTCATATCCCTCACACACACTTTGTGTTAAATAGTACCAAGATGACATGGTAGGTATACAGCAGCACAGTAGATACCCTTTATCTCCCATGCAGCATACTTGTTCCAGTCCCTCTCACCCAATGCAAAATCTGTTGTGTTTTGAGTTTAAAGATGGGAACTTTCCCCACCCCCTTGTACAATATCTTTGTAGACTATATTGAACTATAGCAGCCATACGGCGAGTCTGTCAAAGGGCTTAGCACAAGAAGTTAAGAAACATTGAGATGAGTTGCCGGACGGACTTTTTAAGAACCCAAAGTTAGAATTACAGTTAGGAAGTAGATGACATGAAACTTGGCCACCTTTCAGAATCTAAAAGTCTCACAGCCACCCAGCTGGTTTAACAGAAGCGAAGACAGTAATTGCTAGTAATATCTAAACTCTTATTTTATCATTCTGTTTGGAACTTTAGGAAACAGAATTGTCAACCTTTGCAGCTATTGGCCTAACAGCAGCTTCAATATTATAAATCATCATATTTTCAGCTCTCATCTGGCTAACCTTATTGGATGTTTTTCTGTAAGAAATTATTATAAATTATACCTGTTGCTGAGACACTGAGGAGTATATATTTTTCCTTTCCTTTTAGTAAACTGCTTTAACCGTTCTGTCTGATTTGTGACATAACTGTAGAATTCATTATTTGGAAAATACAGAGACTTTAGGCCTGTGACTCATGTCCCAGCTGACTGGGATAGGGCCCTAACCCTGCTCTACAGCTATGGTTGCCAGCTGTGGGTTGGGAAATACCTGGGGATTTGGTGGGTGGAGTCTAGGGAGGGCAGGGTTTGGGGAGGGGAGAGACCTCAGCAGGGTATAATGCCATAGAGTTCTTCTTCCAAAACAGCCATTTTCTCCAGAGGAACTGATTAGGGTTGCCAGGGCCTACCTTCTGCTTGCCAACAGACCAAAAACCACTGTGGTAAAATTAACAATGACACATTTAATAACTCTATGAGCATCAATTTGTGAAGCTATTAATCTTAAAAAGGTAAAGGTTCCCTTGCTCGAAAGCCAGTCGACTTCGACTCTAGGGTTGCGGTGCTCATCTCTGTTTCAAAGCCGAAGAGCCAGCGCTGTCTGAAGACGTTTCCGTGGTCACGTGGCCAGCATGACTAAATACCAAAGTGCACGGAACGCTGTTACCTTCCCACCGAAGTGGTACCTATTTATCTACTTGCAATTTCTTGCTTTCAAACTGCTAGGTTGGCAGGAGCTGGAACTAGAGATGGGAGCTCACTCCATCATGCGGCACTCGGGTCTCAAACTGCTGCACTACTGACCTTCCACAGCCTGCAGTTCAGCGCCTTAACCACTTGAGCCACCGCATTAATTAATCTTACAGTATGGTAAAAGAATTCAGGCATAGGCAAAGCAAAGTCCAACATAATCATATCCTCGATGAGCACACCGGTTTTTACACTCATTTCACCAATCTTCCTCATGAGTAAGAAGTCTTATAAAGTTGGAAGATGTCAACCGCTTGATCCCAGGACTTTGGTGGTGGGGTCCCCCTGCCAGCTGGATCCGGGCTGATGGATTGGGGCCCCTAAAAGCGGGCAACCCCCCACCCAGGGGAATGGTAAGCCTAGAACTGAACATGGTCATTTGGAGATCAGTTGTAATAGTGGGAACCCTATCTACAGCTGCAGAGGTTCAAGTCATTGCCAGCACCACTTTACTAAACTAATCCTTAGGATTGGGTGGAGAGTTGGGGTGTGCAGGGGGAAAAATTGCCCCCCCTGGATTCAGGTATAATAAAGCTGAATTTTTTCAGTATTCCCAAATTTACCCAAATACCAATACCGGTATGGTATTGGTACCCAAAAATATTTGGTATTCCCAAATATATTGGGCTCAATTTTTCTTATGGGGCCATTGTAGTCAATGGCAAACATCTTCTCAGGAGTATTCCCTGGGCTGGGGAGGAGGGGGTTAGAGGTAGAGGCACCAAATTTGTACTGTAGCTGCTGGAGCCTCTCCCCAAAAGAACCCCAGGTTTGGAAAAGATTGGACCAGGGGATCTAATTCTAGGGGCATTCAGTGCTCCCAATCCTCCATTGTTTCCTGTGGAAGGGGAAGAAGGCAGGCAAATATAAAACCAACAGCCCAGCAGTTTCTCTCAGACAATCTTTGCAGTAAAAATTGTGAGGTATGGTGTGGTGTGAAGGGGCATGCTTGCAAGGCCAGCAGCAGAACCAACAAGCCCAGAAATACAAAACACAATAAAACAACTTTAAAAATTTAAACTGCTAAAAGGCAACAGAACCACAAAACAGAAGAACCAAAACAGAGAGCCTAGGCCCCAGGCAGAAGGCCTGGTCAGTAACCCCCTCCCCCCAAAAAAAACCCCCCAACAAGCCAAGAAATATCAAGCACAGTAAAAAAAAACAAGCAACTTTTAAACTGCAAACAACAGGCTGGCAACAAAATCATAAACTAGAAGAACCCCTTCCCCCAAAAAAACAACAGGAAGAGGTCTGAGGGGCCCTAGGGCCCAGAGGCCTATCCATCACCACCATCCCTAGGCCCCAAACCCACCAGCCCACAACAAAATAAGAAAAGTTTTTTAAAAGTTACCCTTATAAGTCAAACCAGTGATGTCTTCAGTCTTCTTATGTTGTCCAGCAGGCAGGATGGATCTTGATCCGAAGTAGTCCAATAGTCAGCAGCAGGAAAGCAGGCTCAGAGCAGTGGCTGAAGCAGAAGCCAGCCACACAATCTCCAACACAGGGTCTCTCAGCAGCAGGAGCAGGAAAGCAGGAATGAATTCAGCCAACAAGAGACCTCTGCTTTTATGCTCTTTGGGCATACACAGAATTTTTTTAAAAAAGAACAAACTTCTGTGATTGGCCAAAGAGCAGTATACTACCCTTACCTGTAATCCTATTATCCAGGGCTCCTCCCCCTGGGAAAGCAGCAAGCTAGTAATTGGGTTTCAGCAAATGAACCCAGCAGCAACAACAGCCTTGCAAGCTGCAATGGCATTTACTAATGCATTGCAGTGATTGGCTACCTGTAACGTCCCTCTTCCCCCTCCCTGCTGGAAAGCAGAGCAAAGGGTGGGAAAGAGACAAAAACGGTGGGAAAAAGAAGGTAAGTGGAGCCCTTTAAAGTTTAAACCCCCACTGCACCTGTATTCGGTAATGCCAAAAAAGCCAGGAAAAAGCTAAATATTTTCGGTGGGGTTTCGGCATTCAATATTCGGCAGCCAAATCAGATCAGGAAATACCCAAAAAATGCCAAAAAGGCATTTTTCAGGTTTTTTTCCAGTTCAACTTTACTGAATGCACAACCTAGTGGA